GAGGTCTCCGCCTACCTCAGTCAGTTGTCCAATCCCACCTGGGGGAGGCGTTGCCAAGGAGACCAGACCAGGTAGGGGAGGGATTACCTGCCCACACAATAGAGGGAGGATCTTACCTGGGAATCCTCACTTGGCTCCAGAGCTTCTTCCACCCTACCCACCCTCAGTTAATGTCTTATTTTGCAGGTTAACTTTTCTTCACAGGTATGCGGGCACCGCTACGTTAAGGTCGCTGTTAAAGGGCCGGAAAGGAATTTCCCTGCATTGGCATGTTTCGCCTTTCCCGTAGCAAAACGTCACAACTTTGGCGGTATCAGGCCTTGGGCGGAATCCTTTAGTCCATCTTCCTCTTTGCGGCGGCGATACCAGGGCTCCCCGTTAAAGGTGTTTCTGAAGGGAGGCTTTAACCGTACGCCGAAAGGTTGTCATTGCTCTCCCCTGCGGTGTTGTCGTAACGGAGGCGGCTATCTCTGCTTGAACATATGTTCTCCAGAGCCGGCCCATCCCCCCCCCCACTGGATAACCCTGATGCTCCCTAGGTCCCTGGCTGGGGACTGGGGAGGAAGAACGCCCAATGCCTGAGCCAAGGTCTACCCACATTTGAAATTTAATATAATTGTGGCCAATTTAATCCCATAGCACGTTGTCTTGAGTCGTTATTCCACATGACGGGGGGGAGGGCGCTCGGGATCTGGGGACTCCGCCTGGCCACGTAAATGAAAGAGGGAGAAGCTTAAAACAGACGTTCCCCTGACTTTCACTATCCTTTTTTCTTTTTCTTTTTAAAATAATTTTTATTTGGTTTTACCAATATAAAATTATAGTAATACCACAACACACATCCACAATTAAGATTCCTCCAAATCTCTGGACTTTCCACCTTTCCCTCCATGGGTTCTGTTATTAAACCTTTTCTACTGCATCTTTATCTGTAATCCATGTTTTTTATAACTCCATTGTCTCCATAGTTCTTGTTACATTACAAGTGTTATTGCAATCCTGCTAATGTTTTCAACTACTTACAGTAGTCTCCAAGATAAATTATACATTTTTCCAATTCCTTATTGAAGTTTTGGTCTTCTTGGTTGCTGAGCTTTGCAGTCAATTTTCCCATTTCGACATAGTCCAACAGTTTAATTTAGCATTCTTCTCTATTAGGGACTTTATCTTCTTTCTAACTCTGGGCTAACAGCATTTGTGCAGCTGTTGTTGCATACATTAAAAAAAGTTTAAAATAACTTTTATTTAAAAAACCAGAGGCTTTTCTATAAAAATCCAGTGTAAAAACAGCTTCATGGTTTTTTTTGGAAGTAGCCAGCTTTTGGGGAGATCATTACAAGGGAGATTGTTCCACTGTCAAACAGCTCTTGCTGTCAGAAAGTTTTTCTGTGTGTTTATTTCGGAATCTTCTTGTTAGGATATAGTTTCCATTCCACCTTAAAAGAGTCAGGCCTGATTGTTGTGTGTCACATGCCTGTTTACTCCCAGCACTGTGTTCACTGGGAGTTTCCGTTTTGTATATAGCTTTTTTCCTTGCTGTTTCCTCGACATGGATGCAAGCAGTCATGTTTTTCCTTTGTTCTGACTGACGTTGAATAAAGCTGTAAATATGCTCTTCTGGGTGAATCTTCCATTGCGGAGACTGCTGAAAAGGGCGTGCATGAGTCTTGGAATGTGTCTGAGGCTCGTGTCGCTAATTGACTCACACCGTTCCAACGGGAGACTGGGAGATCGTCCGGAGACGACGTGGAAGGCTGCCTGATGCCTCTGTCTCCTTGGCAGTATTCCAACACTTCTTTCTTGTAACATGAAGCCATTGGTTTGAGTCCTACCCTGCAAAGCAGGGTTAGATCAATACACATCAAATAAGTGTTTCAGTTCAACGCGTTGTAAACTTTGTACAGGGAAGTTCCATTGTCAAAACAGCTGTGTTTGAGTTTTTTTGGAAGTAGCCAGCTTTTTGTTACACCCTTAGCTTTCTCTCCATGAGAAGCATCAAATGGATGGAGGGAGGGGAGGGAGGTTTCTGAGCCCAAAATTGTGTTTAGAAAAGCTCACAAGATGCCCTAAGCAAGCAGTCAGAACTCCCCCTCCCCTGAAGACATTTGAACTGTAACTATGTACAGTGGTACCTCGGGAACTTAATTCATTCTGGAGGGCCACTCTTAACCTGAAACTGTTCTTAACCTGAAGAACCACTTTAGCTAATGGGGCCTCCTGCTGCCGCCATGCTGCCAGAGCATGATTTCTGTTCTCATCCTGAAACAAAGTTCTTAACCCGAGATACTATTTCTGGGTTAGCAGAGGCTGTAACCTGAAGCACCTGTAACCTGAAGTGTCTGTAACCCAAGATACCACTGCATGTGCATACAGGAGGGGAAAAGCCAGAGTTCTGGAGTACTGATCCAGAAACTGAATAGTTAGAGGAGGCCAACAACCTACCTCTTGAAAGACTGAATCCTGTGACTAAAGGATTAAAAGAGCAGCAGTTACTGCTCTCCTTGTGAAAAGCACTGAGACACCACTTAGTGTGTTTTGGCACGAAGTTTTTGTCAGTATATGAGAGCCACGCAGCTGCAAACCAGTAGCTTGTTTACATCAAATGATGTGACTAGTTGTGGGAAAGAATATTCCCGGAAGTTCACAGGCTTCTCAGAGCTTTGTGAAGAGTGTAATATGAAACCTTCCTGTTGCGTATGTAAAGGAAGTTTGAGTCTCTTGCTTGAAGAAGTCTGAACTGATCGGACATGTTTTCTGTAGTGCTGTAAAGTCAGAAATAAACAAGATGTAAATAGACTTTCTGACTATCTCCTTTTCCCTTGCTGGGATGCAAGAAGGGAGGGGGTGTACATTTTCCACGCTGGGAAATGTCACCTATCAAGATCTACCCTGGACTAGTGGGGATGCCAGCTAGGAAGATCACCGGTAAACAAGCTCCAGGAACCTGCGAGGGGGGCCAGCCTCCCCCGAGGGGGCCTGTTAACCAACAGTTTTTCCACTTCCCTGTCTTCTGTTATAAGAACAAAACTGCTCCTTTTCCCTTATGGGGTACCTAAGAGCTCATATATAGAGTCCTTTTATAGGGTCTCTGTCAGTAAGAGAAAAATAACAGAGGCAAACCAGAGAATATTGAGAAACAAAGCAGCTAGTAAGCCTGATCTTTATTAACTGTTGCAACAGGGTGCTCACAACCACAACAGGCTGACCCTACCGATATCTTAAATGAGCCCTTGAGGCAGGATTTGTGAGCAAAGAGACAATAGGGAGGTTTTTTCCCATTTCCTCCCTCCTTGCAGAGAAATATTTGAGGTCAATTTGGGAGAGACAAAATGGTTCCAGGACTTTTTTCCTGTACTGTTTCAGACATGTGGTTTATATATTTATGTATGTGTTTGCTTGGTACATTTATTTTATATCTTAGACCTTATAATTCTCATAACACTTCCAAGAGCAGGGAACGTTTGGCTTACTAATAAAAGGCTTATCAAGTGAAGGCGTTGCAAGTAAAAATTCATTTACAAGCCACATATTCAGAATTTTGACTAGGAAAATTTCACCAATGAAAGTCCTTTTTGGAAAAAAAGTAAACATTTAATGAAATGTAAAAAAAAAAAAAAAAAGATGAGATGGTTGGACAGTGTTCTTGAATCTACAAACATGAGTCTGACCAAACTGCGGGAGGCAGTGGAAGACAGGAGTGCCTGGCATGCTCTGGTCCATGGGGTCACGAAGAGTCGGACACAACTAAACGACTAAACAACAACAACAACAAAGAAAGTAAAATTTAATGAACTGAACTTTGAAACAAAGTTGTGCCAGGAAGTTCAACAGACATGGATCAAGGGCTAAATCTGTATAAACATCCTGTACTGTGCTGAGTTTAAGTTGCTGGTTTTGGAATTGACTTCAAAATTTCCTTGCTGTTTTCTAGCACCACTTGTGGGGCATGACTGACCCATAACCTTTGTTAGCTATTTGTGATAATAAAAAAGCCTTACTCAAATAGTTGAAGATAAATTTTTACTTCTCAGGATGGCAACAGTTAAACAACAAGCATTATTTACATATAAATCCATGAATGCAAAATGTTCCTCTCCCCTGAGCCCAAGAGAGGGTTCTGGCACGACAGCTTATACTCTAAATTCACTCTTCCCTCCCACCCACCCAACTGTATATGTTCGAAATGATACACTGATTGGGAGCGGGACATAAGGAAAGAGGCATAGAGTCTTTGCATGCTTAAAATTTCAGGGCCCTTTTCTAGCATTTTTGCTTAAAGGGTCACAGGCCAAGATAGAAATATCTGCCCATCCTTAGCCTGGAGAAGAGGAGACTGAGAAGAGATATGAGAGCCACCTTGAAATATCCCATGGAAGAGGGAGCAAGCTTGTTGTTCTCCTGCTCTGTGGGGTACAACCTGAACCTGTTGTGTTTGCTGTGATTTTCCATAATGATTTTTTTTGGGAAAGAGCCCTTCCAATTACACTTCTTCCATTCTTTTTCCAAGGAAAGTTCCAGAGGTTTGATAGCTTTCCTCTCTGAATTCACTCCAAGTTGTGTGCAGACTCCTTTTTCTCTTCATCCATGGCATGTGTAGGCAAACTAAGGCCCGGGAGCCGGAGCCGGCCCAATCACGTTCTAATCCGGCCCACGGATGGTCCTGGAATCAGCGTGTTTTTACATGAGTAGAATGTGTCCTTTTACTTAACCTTTCACCTTCAAGAGCAAATTGATGCCCAAAAGCCACAGCACATATCACGTTGGAGACTGAATTAGTGATGGGCATGGAAGGGTCAAGTGGGTGCCCTGCAAAATAAAATTATACTAATGTTAGTTCAGCTGCTCCTGTTCATACTGAGAGTGGGATTTCATGGTGGCCAAGAGAAACTGCTGGGATATCCATTAGGAACCAAGAAAAACATATCACATTCCTTTGTAAAATGGACAGAGGTAGTACACAAATATATCTCCATATGCCAGCTCCGCACCATCACTTAGCATCACATACCCTTTGAACGTGCAAAAACCTCCACGAGCTGATGGGCCTCCTCTGCTACTTGGTGCTCCATGCCTTTCTTCCCCAGCCCCAGCTTCCGCATAGTAACTACACCAAAGCGTCTCTGTTGCCTCCAGGTGTGACCATTTGATAATGCAATACCTTGGCAAAGCAATGAGAAATTATTATTTACAGATATCAATGTAAAAAGTTGCCATCTCAGAACAAACAATGATTCATGCCTTTGCATGTAAGAGCTGCTTAGTCTCTCTACAGCAAAGAATTACAAGATGATGCAGAAAGGATTCTGGGTACAAATTGGATGGAATTTAGAGGGAAATTCCATCAAGCTTCTAGTGACACTATTGGGAAAATTGGAAGTGGTGGAAACGGAAGTTCTTTTTTCCCCCTCTTGCTAAATTTTCCTACAGGAAATGGGATCGCAAAAAATCAAAATGGGTGTAAAATAATGAATATACAACAAGTAAATAACTATGGATTATGAAATGTACTCGGAATCGAGAGTGGATTTCATGCCCTTTATTCAGCTCATAGTGGTGAGGAGGAATGAAAGTTCCCCCAAAATATCTGCTTTATATACATTATTTACACAATGGGCTGCACGTGATTGGCTAATTTCGGGATTCTCCTGTAGGCCAATTAGGTTGTGGATTCACTTCCACCTGGAGCTGGATTGGGTGGCTCCTGCGGACCAATCATACTGCTGCATTGTTCTAGGACCAATCAGACTGCTGCATTCTGAATCCTATTTTTGTAGGACCAATCAGACTGCTGCATTTTGGATCCTATTGTTCTAGGACCAATCAGACTGCTGCATTTTGGATCCTATTCAACTCACTACATAACAGATTATTTTTAAAATATATGACTATAGCGGAAAGTTTCGTGTTTAAAAATGAATGATTTATTGTTTTTAAACATGGAGTAATGGTTGGAATTGGGGGGGGGGAGAGAGAGATAAAGTCATCATACAAGATTGGAAGAGGACTATTCTTGACACTTAGCGATGTCTGGGGCTGACGATGTTCACCTAGCAGAACAAGGAACAGCTGGATATTATCCTGGGAAACAGTTGGATATCACACTGGAATGAACACCTAAAATATTATGAATAAATATAATTTACAGATGAAGAATCAGAAGTTGTCTTTATTTCTTTCTCTCTTTCACTCTTCACGTTTTAATTATTATTTTCGTCTTCTTTTAGCTATTTTGCTTTTGCTTATGTTTTGTTTTGTTTTGCGATGTCCTCTGCCTTGGGTTAATGAGGGTACACACATGAAGGTGATAGCTAGCCTGTGTGAGAAGCAGAGAAGGAAAGATCTCCCAGGGTGGGAGACTGGGGGAAGAAAGGGAAGCACCCAGGTGAGAGCTGGGAGGGTCCACTCCCTTCTGTGTGAGACAAGAGTTAAGACATACCTTTGAGAGAGGGCTTGGCATTCCTCTGTCTCTCTCTCTTCCTTTTTTGTTTTTGTTATTTATTTAGATTAGTTAGTATGCTGAAAAGCTTCAACAAACAAACAAACAAACAAACAAACTCAATTCAGCCAATTTTGCCACACTGTTTTTAAGGATATAATGTGTGATGTCAACCAGTTACTACTGCTACTGGTCCCGCCAGACGGGGCTTTTATTGAGGGTGCATTCTGCACCATATTCTTGACAAGACTGTAGTGCATCAATGGTGGGTGCGGTTTATATTCGGGCCAATACCATATTATTATTATTGTAATTGTCAAACCTGTGTTGTTGAACGTAATCCGTTCAACCGAGTGGTGGCTTCCGATTGGTTGCAGGAGCTTCCTGCACTCAAGTGGAGGCTGCGTTAGACTACCAAATTCGGCTTACCGAATTCGGCTACCAAAAAACATTAAAAAGAAATGAGCATTTACTTCCAAGGTTTTTGACGTTTGGGAGCCAAAAAGTTCCAAAATGGAGGCATTCGAGATCTGAGGTTTGACTGTATTTATTATTACAATTATATCCCACTCATCCTCCCAGAGGAACCAAGGGCTGAAAAGAAGCAAAACCGAGAACGATTTCAACAGAAAAGCTTATTGGAAGGGATATATTGATCTCAAGTTGTATAGGCTGTTTGTTCAACCAGCACCTTGAACTTAGCTAATTGTCAGCAAGTGGCATAACATGCTGGCTATGTCCTGCCCCCATGAGCAGTCAAGCCACTGCATTTTTTGCCCCAAATGCAGCCCCAAATGCAGCACATTGTGTAATCCAGCCTAGAGATAACCAGCACATGGATGACAGTAGTTAGGCTATCCTGATCCAAAAACTACTTACGCTGTCTTACTAGCCAAAGCTGCCTTGCTGGCTGAAGCTGGTAAAAGGCATTAAGGCCACTAGGCCTCTAGCAGCCAAGATTTATCCAGGAGCACCCCTAGTCTACGAACCTGTTCTCTCAGGGGGAGTTCAACCCCATCCATAGCAGTAAACTGAACAATTGACTAGACTCCACCCACCATACCTCCATCTTACCAGGATACAGACTCACTTTATTGGCCCTCATCCAGCCCACCACCTCATCCAGCCAATGCAGGCACCAGTCTCCAAAAGTCATCTGGTATTTAATATGGGTATCTTTCCCTTTTATGGAATTGCCACTTCTTTTAACCTGTGCCTTGGCAAAGTACCAATCTGATGTAGGCGTCAAGACCTTCAGCAGAAAGAACTCAGAGTTCAAGCTCTTCATCCAGCACTGAGGGCCAGGATAGTAAATGCATTACAACAGGCAACAAATTTCTACCTGCAGTTGAATCTTGCTAGTTGCAATCCATCAGGGTGCCAACTTGAATAAAATATCAGGAAGGGTGTAGGAGTGCAAATATCCAGAGTGTGGGGTCAGGTGGGATTACTATGAGGAATTATAAAATATGCATCAAGCCATTGTGTCCACGATGAATGCATTGTGTTGACTGGGTTTGATACATTGACAATAATTTCTGATCAAATCCCACAACCGCCAAAATCTCTGGCCATTTCCTCTACTGTTCCTCTACTGCCCATTTCTCTCTCTTCACAAGTCACGTACACAGCCCAGTTGCTTAGACTGGCAGGCTCCTGGGTCATCAAAGACAGTAGGCAAACTTCTTTGATGTAGCTCTTCTGATATGTTAATCTTAGGATGTTAATCTTAGGGCCAGGAAACAGGTTTCACATAAAGGTGATAATGATCGCTGTCCTCCTGGCCATCCTCCTTATCATGTATATTGCTTGTTTATCACCTCTCCCGGTTGCCAAATGTACTCCTTTTAGTTCTGTGTGCTTAATTAATTTTGGTAGTTTAACTTTTCCCCATGTGGGGTTTGTTGAAATGTTCAGAAGAAATCTGATTGGTTCTTACGAACACTCTGTAAAAGTTCTTTTGTGAATAAAACAACCTGGGCCGAGGAGTGGAGGCATGGAGAGATTATTATGCGCACCCTTCTCAGAGTCTTGCTGGTTCAAGCCTCTGTGTGTATTCTTATTAATCAGAGTTCAATCGTTCCTTTTCTTTGAGAACGCCTCAAACGGGGCAAGTGAGTCCCACCTCGCATGATCAGTTACATGATGTGGCTCACGCCCACCATTAGAATGGCAATTGCCATGAACTTTGGCGGAGCCAGGCCCCTTCACATATTTTAGAGGGGCACTGAAGGGACCTCAGCCCCTAGCTGTTCACTCCTAGGTAACCCATTTCCTGCAGTGCAACAATAATAGAGAACCTTTGTTCTGGACAGCTCTTTAAATGTTTTCTCTTGGGAAAATACCAGTAGAAATTCTTATTCTTCACTACTTACCCTTTCCTTTTGCCATGGTCGTAAGGAAAGGAGTCTCTGGTCGCTCATCTAATTCTTCAGAGTGGTCAATGAGCGCTTCTTTCACTGCTTGGAATCCAGACAGTACTACAATGGGTCGATGTCCAAACTATAGGGTGTAAATATTTCCATGTTGCTTTCCCAGCTACCATTTGGGTCAAAAGAGAGGAGAGGAATGATGGATTCAAAAAACACAGTTGGATATTTCAACTTAATACGAGAGCTTCAGTGTCCCTCACCTCTGCAGCTTCTCACTATGTGCAGTTCTCTTGCTATCATCTCTCCCCCCTCCTCCCCCCTCCCTCCCTCCATTTCAACCCTCACAGAACTCTAGCCCAATGGTTGCCATTAATTAGATTTTGAATTGATTTTAGAATGAATTGATTTTAGAATGCTGTGTTGCTTTTATTGTTGTTAGCTGCTCTGAGCCCGGCTTCAGCTGGGTAGGGCGGGATATAAATACAATTCTATTCTTTATTTATTTATTTATTTATTTATTTATTTTACTCTCTGCCATCTATGTTGCCTCGGCCTAGGATCAGAGCAGCAGAGGCACTTCATAGTGACTAGCCCTCCTGTACCAGAATAGGACCTTGTCACAATTATTTTGTGTGCAGGGATGTGGAAACTGTAGCGCACCAGATGCTTTTGAACTGCAACTCAATTGTTGACTGCTGGCCATGGTCGTTGGGGCAGATGGGCATCATAGTTGAAAACATCTGGTGGGTAACAGGTTGCCATAGGCTGGGCTAGAGCACTGGGTCAAGTTTCAGGCAAAATGTCAGGTAACACCCGGATTTGTATAGCAACACAATGGAAAAAGTTCTACAATTTTTGTGGTTTCCTAAAATATGGAAACCCTAGTTTACTGCAGAGAACCGTTAAGAATTTGGTATTTAAATTGTTTTTTTATAAGTGCTTCTAGTTGTAGTAAACAAGATGAAAATGTCCCCAGGCTTCAGAAATTGAATAGCAAATGCAGGTTAGTACCTGTTGAGAGGCTGCCATGAATGAATGCTGAGGACCTATGTGGTCATTTATTTATTTTTGTAATAATATTTTATTCTTTTTTTCCATATAGAAAGTTACATTTATTACTCAACAATTATATTCCAATTCAACAAAACAAGTTGTCAGGGCTGCCTCAGGTCTCAGCTCACAAAAGACCAACGCCAATCTCTTCTTATATACAAAAGTGTTTATTGGAGTTCATTGTTTGCTTCACATCCGAGGCGCGCAGCCCCTCGTCTGTTACGCTTAGACCGTTGAAGTCCCCTCTGAGTCAGTCCCTCCCCTGCACCAGTTTAAGAGGCTTGCGCTGCTCCACCTCTTCCTCTCTTTCCTTTTCCGCAGGGTCTTCCTGCCCGCTGTGGTTTCGCCCCTCCTGGATTCCCCTGACGCGGAATCCCCAGATTGCTCTTCCCCCCTCCTGCGGGCTTTGGGACCTGGCTCCTCCTCCGGGCTCCCTGTACTTCCGCGCGCCTCCACATTTGAACTTGGCGCGCGCGCCCAACCTCTAACCTTCCTTTTGACAGTTACACTACTCCCTTCACTACTCCCCCCCCTTCCGGGAGGGTGGCTTGCTCCGACCTCCCTCCCTTCTCTGCTGCCGGAGCTGCTTCCCCTGATACACTGGAACCTCCACCCCCTTCGCTGCACTCTGGCGGGGAGGCTGGTCCTGACGCCCAGCTGCCACTTTGGGATCCCCCACTGGCCCCCTGCTCCTGACACATCCCCCCTGGGGCTCCCCTGGCCTTGACCACCGGCCCCCCTTCTGGGAATCCTCTGATTCGCTGGAAAGACTCATGGAATCTCTTGAGTCATTGTCATCCTCTTCCTCGCTGTCCTGGGATTCATCCCCATCGCTCTCCATCTCCTGCCTACCCTGTGCCTCTGTCCCTGAACCCCTGACATCCATCCCCCCCCTCGAAGCCCCCCCTTCCCCCCTCCCGCTGCTCGGGCGCAGGTTCCGGGAGCTCCGTTGTAGCGGGGGTAGATGCTGAATACAGTCCGTCGACGTCGATCTCCTCTGCTTCCAGTTCAGTGTATGAGTGCTCGAAACCGGGGTCCTCCCCCAACACATCCAAGTCCTCCCCTCCCCCTGTTACTTCAGGCGATGCTGCTTGCCAAGGCCCCCTTAGCCACCTCCTGCGCCACTCCTCTTCTGGTTGATCGTCCCACCAATAAGAGCAGTCCGTGTCCACCCCCGAGCACGATCCCCTTGGAGGGCTCGATTCCGGCGTGGTCTCCTCTGCGGAGGAGAACCCCCGGAAGGTGCTGTCTGAAAGTGTGGGCGTAAAAAGCCAGTCGTCAAAATACTCCGCTGGCATGGGCCTGTGTGGGAAGAGTACATGGAACTCGTCTTTAAGAAGAGGTTCCTCCAGAGCATAATCTGGCACCCAACTGTTGGCGCTGGCTGGGGTACCTTCCCTGGCGAGGAGGTATTCTACTCCCTCCTCCCCCCATCTCGAGTCCAGAATTTCCGTGGCCTCGTTGAGTGTCGGGGCCCTCGGTGACTCCCCCCCCCTGGTGACTTTCTACGTGGGTCTGGTGCCGTCCCTGGCTCCTGAAATCTGTGTGGGGCCTTGTAGGGTGTAAGCACCGACCTATGAAAGACCGGGTGCATTCTGGAACCTTCTGGGAGGGTCAACCGAAAGCTACGGGGTTGATCCTGCCCTCAACTTGGTATGGCCCTAGCTGTTTGTGTCCTAGCTTCTTCTTAGCTAACGACTTGGCCGGCACCGCCTGGGCTGCTAACCATACCCAGTCCCCCACCTGGATGTCTTCTCCTGCCCTCCTGTGCCTGTCTGCCTGCACTTTGTAGGCGTGTTTAGCTAGTTCCAAGTGCCGTCGTAGCTCCTCGTGGACCTCCTGCAATTCTGCTGCTAAATGCTCAGCTCCCTGCGACTCCCCCTGCGTCGTTGTCTCCAACCCCAGGAAGGTTCTGGGATGTCGCCCATTGTTGGCGAAGAACGGTGTCACCCCCGTTGACGCGTGCTTCGTGTTGTTGTAGGCAAACTCGGCCATCGGTAAGTAGTCCACCCAAGTTGCAGGCAGCTGATTGGCGTAACATCGCAGGTACTGCTGCATGATGGCATTGACCCTCTCCGCTTGGCCGTTGGTTTGCGGGTGTCTCGCCGACGCTAAGTTGATCTTGACATTCAGGATGCCCAGGAGCTTCTGCCAGAAACTGGAAATGAATTGGCGACCCCGGTCGGACAGGATGGACCGTGGTAAGCCGTGCACCCGGAACACGTGGTCTATGAACAGCTTGGCGGTCTGCTCCGCTGTTGCCACCTTCGCACAAGGAATGAAGTGCGCCATCTTGGTGAACAGGTCTACAACCACAAGCACCGCCGTCTTGCCTCGCGAACTGGGCAGATCAGTAACAAAGTCCAGCGCCACCCTTTCCCACGGCTGTAGTGGTGTCTCCAGCGGTTCCAGCAATCCCGCTGGCTTCTTGTGCACTGGCTTGGACCTCTGACAAGTGTCACACCTGGCGACGTAATCCGCGACCTCTCCTCGCATCTGGGGCCACCAAAAGTCCCTGGCTACTAAGTCCGCCGTCTTTTCCTTGCCGAAGTGACCCGCGCTGGGTGCGTCGTGTAACTGCTGTAGAACCTTCGCGCGGAGATCGTCTCCCGGCACGTAGAGAGCACCTTTGCGGGTTAGCAGGCCGTCGCGTATCTGGAATTCGTCGTCCTTTGCTGTCCCTCTGCGCACCTCCTCCATCTTGGATTGTGCGAACGGATCCGCCTGCAGCGCGCGTCGCACCGCATCCAGGTCCACGGCGGCGGAAGCACACGCCCACGCCTGCGGTGCGAAAATGTGCTTGGCTGCCACTGGTGCTGCTTCCTCGAGATACTGCGGTTTCCTGGAGAGCGCATCCGCTATGACGTTGTTGTCTCCCGGGATATACTCTATCCTGAAGTCGAAATCCGCAAAGAACTCCGCCCATCGTATGTGCCTCTGGCTCTGGAGCTTCGCCGTGCGCCAATACTCTAGGTTCTTGTGGTCCGTGCGGACTTGCACGGTGTGCTTGGCTCCGATGAGGAAGTGCCGCCACGCCTTGAAAGCCGCGTGGATGGCCAACAACTCCCTGTCCCAGATGGTGTAGTTCTGTTCCGACTTGCTGAGCTTCCGGGAATAGAAAGCGCAGGGCCTCCAGTTCCCTTGCGGATCTTCCTGCAAGAGGACGGCCCCCACTGCTCTGTCAGATGCGTCAGTCTCAACCCGCATGGGCCTGCCGGGATTCACGTGTAGCAGCTGTTCTTCGGACGCGAAGAGGCTCTTAAGTCTCCTGAAGGACTGCTCCGCCTGGTCCGTCCAGGTGAACTTTTTCTTCTTGGAACTGAGGGTGTCCGTGATAGCTGCCGTCTCTTTCGCGAAACCCCTGATGAACTTGCGGTAAAAGTTGGCGAAGCCGAAGAACCTCTGGACTTCCTTCCGATTGCGCGGGCTATTCCAGTCCAACACCGCGCGGACCTTGGCGCTGTCCATGGCTAGTCCCTTGTCGGACAGCCGGTAGCCCAGGAAATCCACCTCCGTCACGTCGAACTGGCACTTCTCCAGTTTGGCGTAGAGTCTGTGCTCCTGTAGCCTCTGCAGGACCTCCTTTACGTCTCTCTCGTGAGTCTCCTGCGATTCTGAGAAGATCAGAATGTCGTCGAGGAAGCATACGCACTTCTTGTAGAGGAGTCCCGCTAGCACGTGGTGCATGAATGCTTGGAAACAGTGGGAGCCATTTTGGAGACCAAACAGCATAACTCTGTATTCATAGGTGCCCAGCGGCGTGAACATGGCCGTCTTCCACTCGTCACCTTCCCTCATGCGTATTAGATTGTATGCTCCGCGTAGATCCAACTTGGTGAAGACCCTCCCCTTCCTCACCGTCGCGAGCAGGTCGTCAATTTTGGGCATGGGGAAGGCCTTGGGCTTTGTCATCGAGTTTATGGCCCTATAGTCCACAATGAGCCTTTTTGGGGCGTGTCCTTCTTCTTCACGAAAAACACAGGACTGCCCCCCACTGCCTTGGATTCTCGGATGAATCCCCGCTTCAAATTGTGATCTATGAACTCCCTGAGTTCCTGCATCTCATCTTCAGACATGGAATACAGCTTTGCAGTCGGCAGCGTCGCCCCTGGTAAGAGGTCAATTGCACAGTCGTAGGGCCGGTGGGGTGGTAATTGGTCAGCTTCCTTTTCGCAGAAGACCTCCAAAAACCCCTTGTACTTGTGAGGCACCGCCTGCACCATGCCTAGATGCAACTGTTGCCCTTCCTCCTGGCCCTCCTCCTCCTGGCCGGTCTGGATGCAATGTTGTGCGCAGTAGGACGAGCCAAAGGTGAGCTGCCGCTGGTACCACGCTAATGATGGGCTGTGTCTATCCAGCCAACTCATGCCTAACACTATAGGCGTGTCTGACAGTCGGGTGACGTTGAAACTGATGACCTCGCGATGATTCCCAATCTGCATCACCATGGGTGGCGTCTGCTGTACCACTTGCCCGCCCAGCAACTTCCTGCCATCTACCGTGACGACGTTCAGAGGCAGCGTGGCTGGTAGAAGCGCTATGCGATGCTGCTTGATGAACTGCACCCCCACGAAGTCTGCGTTGCTCCCTGAGTCAATTGTAATGGGGACTTCCAGGGTGAGTCCATTAGGTAGCTGGAGAGTAGCAGTGAGCTGCACCACTGGCTTGGGTGGTAAGGGATTTGTAGGCTGCAAAAGCGCTGGGGACTGCTTTACTGACTCGCCTGGCTGAGCCCCAGCATGTCTGCTTCCAGCCAGGCATTGTCGTTTCCCTGAAACTGCTCTCCTTGGAGCGCTGCTCCTGTTACTGTTGCTAAGGCTGCAGTGTGCTTCTGGAGCCTCTGGGGACACTCTTTGGCCATGTGCTGCGCACTGTCACAGATGTAACACTTCCTGGTCCCTCTAGGAGGCTTCGCCTTGACTGCTCCGGACGCTGAGGCTCCGGCAGCTGTCTGAGCCTTTGCACCACCAAGTTCCATTGGTTCCTCCCCCTCCCTCAGCAGAGGCGAGGGATGCGTACGTCCCAGGTCCCTGGGAAGAAAAGGAGGCGCTCTAGCTGGTGCGCGGACTTGGCGCCCCTCCTCACTGTGCCAAGGGCGTTCTTCGTGGCGCACTCCTATCGTGAGTGCCCTCTGCACGACGTCTGCTAGGGTTTGAGGTCTGTCCCCCCTGGCCAACTCATCTTTTACGGAGCCATGGAGCCCCTCCCAGAACAAGTCTCTCACTGCCAGGGAGTCCTTTTCCCAGCCCAGCACATTCAGCAATGCAAAAAAGCGAGAATGGTACTGACGCACTGTAGCCTTGCCCTGCCGCAATCCATGCATCTCCCGTCGCGCCACATCAACGTCAACGGTAGATTGGAAGCAAGCGTCCATGGCTTTGATAAATTCGTCAGAGTTCCTGCGGGCAGGACCATCTTCGCGCCACAAATTGCGTAACCAGGTTCTAGCTTCCCCATGCAAGTGGGACACAATAAAGCCTACTTTCTCCTCCTCATCTTTGAAGTCTTTCCGAAGCAAATGCAGCGCGTATACAACATCTGCTCCGAAACTGGGATAATGCTTCAGGTTCCCATCGAAGTGGGCTACTAAATTTCCCCCCCTCCGTCCGAGTCCGATTCCCTCTGATCTGGACCCCGGGAACCCCTCTTTGCACGCATGGTCCCACCTGGCTTGCAGATCCTGGCATCGCGCTTCTGCTTCGGCAACTGTCTTCTGAGAGACCACTACCGCAGCGGAGAGCTCGGCGACTGCGTTTCGCAGGGTCGTTATCTGCTCCTCAGTAGTCATGTCTGCCAAACTTCGTGAGCTTTGCAAAAAAAAAATTTGCGGTTTCAGGAGAGGGGACTTACTGTCAGGGCTGCCTCAGGTCTCAGCTCACAAAAGACCAACGCCAATCTCTTCTTATATACAAAAGTGTTTATTGGAGTTCATTGTTTGCTTCACATCCGAGGCGCGCAGCCCCTCGTCTGTTACGCTTAGACCGTTGAAGTCCCCTCTGAGTCAGTCCCTCCCCTGCACCAGTTTAAGAGGCTTGCGCTGCTCCACCTCTTCCTCTCTTTCCTTTTCCGCAGGGTCTTCCTGCCCGCTGTGGTTTCGCCCCTCCTGGATTCCCCTGACGCGGAATCCCCAGATTGCTCTTCCCCCCTCCTGCGGGCTTTGGGACCTGGCTCCTCCTCCGGGCTCCCTGTACTTCCGCGCGCCTCCACATTTGAACTTGGCGCGCGCGCCCAACCTCTAACCTTCCTTTTGACAGTTACACTACTCCCTTCACTACTCCCCTCCCCTTCCGGGAGGGTGGCTTGCTCCGACCTCCCTCCCTTCTCTGCTGCCGGAGCTGCTTCCCCTGATACACTGGAACCTCCACCCCCTTCGCTGCACTCTGGCGGGGAGGCTGGTCCTGACGCCCAGCTGCCACTTTGGGATCCCCCGCTGGCCCCCTGCTCCTGACACATCCCCCCTGTGGCTACCCTGGCCTTGACCACCGGCGCCCCCTTCTGGGAATCCTCTGATTCGCTGGAAAGACTCATGGAATCTCTTGAGTCATTGTCATCCTCTTCCTCGCTGTCCTGGGATTCATCCCCATCTCTCTCCATCTCCTGCCTACCCTGTGCCTCTGTCCCTGAACCCCTGACACAAGTGATTTCCCATTCACTCAATATCAGTGTTTATAACTTGAATTACATACAATTGCATTTTAAAGTTCCATCTTATCTAATTTCATCCTCTCTAACATGTTTCTTAATATATTCTGCTGTTTTCTTACACTTCAAACCCCACTGTGGTCTTTGCATCTGGGAAATAACTTTTTATATAGACCGTTAAGGTTTTCCAATCTTCTTTAAAAGATTCTAAATTTGTATCTTTCATCAATTCTTGCCATCTCTGCATATGCCAAGATTTTCACAAACCATTCTTCCTTTGAGGGTGTTCTCTCCTCCTTCCTCAGTTTAACAGTATACAATAAATATTTTTGATCAGTAGTTTTTAATGCACATTTTAAACTTTTTTATGGTTTTGTGCTTTTCAGTATTAATAATAATATCCTTTATATTATTACTATTATTTGTATTGCTTACAGTTTCTGACAACAGAGGCTTATGGCATTTACCATTTTAACCCATGCTATTATTTAAGTTTAAATATCATAATTGTTGGGGGAAATAGATAATTGCTGACATCAGAGTTATTACTAAGGAATAAGTATCTGAACGAGAGTATTTTCATGAATCTTCAATCCAAAGCTGTATATGGCTCCAATGAGAGGAAGCTGGAGAGGACCTGGAGGATAATGCCTGTTTGACCAGAGCTGTTTCAGCTAGTGCAGAATCAGAAGAGCCACCAGCAGAGCAATCAAAAGTGCCCGTATCTCCATCCTTCTCTTGTTGTCTCTTTCTCCTTAATTCTTTCTAGGTTGCCTGGTCAGGTTCAACTCTCTTTCTCTAAGGAGCTTTTGCTTTCCTCAAAGACATCAGCAGTACTCTCTGTTTTTATATGCTCAGTTATTGAAAACAAATAAGCAAAAAGGGGTGTGACACCATTTGCAAGTAGCCTTGGAACGTGAGTGCAAGTCATGTAATACTATTGAACACTATAATCAGTCTTATATGGGTCACGTAAATGAGAGGGTGCTTGATCTATATAAATTGTAATTAGAATCCAAGCTATCTTAAGACCGATTTTGTGACACAAATATTTGGGAAAGAATTTTGTACCAAATGTTCATTAAATAAAAAATGAATATGAAACCCAGACCCTTAGGAAAAGCAAAGTGTGCATGTGTACATTCTCTCTTTCTGATTCCTTTTCGGTTCTCTATCTCTCTCTCTCTCTTGGAGGGAGCTCATCTGGGAGAGTGGGAGAGTGGCTCATCTGGGAGAGTGGGGACCAACTCAAATGCATGGTTCCCACCACACTAAATTAACTAATTCATATATTCCCTCCTTATTCAAAATTCCAAATGTGCTCATTGGCTTTAAAAAGTTGGTGATTCACTGCTTGAAGTGGAAGAGTAACACCCCTGAATAATTTCACTCCTTATAAATATTTGTTCTCCCTTTATTCCTGATTTACACAAAGATTCTGAATCTTCTTTATTTGTCAAGGTTTCTATCTCTAAACAGGGAAGAAAATGCTGAGAGATAGAAGCCTAGAGAAACAATGGGTAAGAGCATAAGTGCCAACTTATACTCGATCCCCCTTCTCCACCCATGTTGACAAAAGTTGGGTGTGTTGAGGCTCTTCCTCCTCCTGCAGTGGAGGGGAAGGGTGGAAGAAGCAGTCTTGATGACCTAGAAAGTCAAGGAGTGGTCAAGGAGAATTAACAGAGACACATTTCTGTGATTCTTAGATACTGACTTAGAGCAGAAATATTCGTACTGTAATCACTCTGTGAAAGCAATGTATGATCCGAACTGCCTACAAGCTGTGCTGACCCCAGTGGGTCTCTACTTTTGGTTCTAGGTCATGGCATTCACCTGCGTCCCAGTGAATTGTAGAATTGTAGAATTGGAGGGGACCCTGAGGGCCACCACGTCCCACCCCACGCAATGCAGAAATCTCAGCTAAAGCATCCATGAAAGATGGCCATCCAACTTCTGCTTAAATACCTCCAAGGAAGGAGAGTCCACAATCTTCCAAGGGAGACCATTCCACTGTCAAACAGCTCTTACTGTCAGAAAGTTTTTCATATGTTTATTTCTGAATCTTTTTTTTTTTTTTTTTTGTAACATGAAACCGCTGATTTGAGTCCTACCCTCCAAAGCAGTGCTGGATCTAGACACATCAAAGACGCAATTCAGTTAAACACATTTTTATTATCATTCAATTTTACAATTAACATTTATATTCAAATAAAAGTCATAATCATAAACATATAGGATTCTCTGAATCCTTGGATTTCCCTCCACCTGTAATGGTTGGGTCTCTCCCACAGAAGCGAGACAACTCCGGCAGCAATTAACTCAGGTTTATTGCTCAAAACACACAAATCACTCTGGAGCTCAGTCATTCAGTGTCTGCTTCCAAATTAGCTGTTGCTGAGTCTGAGTTCCGCCCTTTCCTCTTCCTCCATTTAAAGCCCCACTTTTGCTTCCTTTCCTGTTCACGCCTCTCATTAATCCTTGCTCGCCTGTGCATCATGGGATGGGCTATTTCCAGTGGCTCTCCCTCTGAGTCCTACCTTAAACTGTCAGTCTGTGTCTTCCCCCTTGAACTCCTCCCTTCCTTCTCCTTGTTCTCGGAGCTTGGGCTTTTACTGCAACTAGGCTGCTCCTCCCTCATTCCACATTGCTACCTAATTATCTCCTCCTGTCTCTCCACGCTCTCCCTCTCTGCCAGCAATGAGACGCAGCTGACATCACCCCCTCCTCTAAGCCCCCCTTCCTCCTTGACTCAGCCTCGCTGCTTGCTATGGAGGGCTCTCTCAGTTCAAGCGCCCACCCCATATCACTCTCCTTGGCTTCTTCCTTGCTAAGGTCCTCCTCTGCCCCCCCACCCTCTGGCCCTGGGCTTGTGGGGGTACCTACGGTGGAGCTGCCTGTGTAAATCTGGGGGCTGTAAATCCTGACTGCATACCCAAGAGTTTTCTTCAGGTCCATAACCTTTGTAGGACACTACGTACAGCAACTGTCTTCTATACCACCTCAAATCTAAAATCTGTTGGATCTCAAACTTCTCCTTATCTTCTACCATAACTGAGGGAGGTGCCCACTTAGGGTCCTGGTACTGGTGTGCTGGAATGTACGGTGACAAATAAGCCCTA